CGGGTACGGGTACCCGTTTGCGACCCTGGTGCGGCCAGGTACGGGTAAGGAATCAAACCCGTTTGCGACCTCTGTCCTAATTATAACACCTCTCCCCCCAATATTCAAATATGCTCAAAATGTCCCCCCCAATATATTGCTATAAAGAAAAATGTTATTGCTATGCGATGTAAATAAAAACAATTTGCTAAACCTTGGCCACAATATCTGGACTTGCCTTCATATAAATCAATGTGTAGATTTCTGTTTATATGATTGTGGTTATGGTTGTACTTTATGAATCCCTAATCTCTGCCATTACTTACAATGAAACAAGAAATGGTAAGCATTTACACCATTGGAGTAAAAAATATGATAATTGTTTTTTCACCCTTCCATCTGGCAACAAAACTGACACCTTTTTTACAAGGAGTCATGTTTGCATAGACCACAATACCTGCAGTCGTAATGCAAACAAAAAACATAACTCTGATCATGTGCACTGTCCCTGAAGTTCCAATGGTGTAAATGCTTACCCGAGCTCTCATACTCTGATGGTGCATTGTCTTTGAGTTGTGCGCCTTTTGATGTCATCTGGTCCAACACCATGTGAGACTAGACTCTAAGGAAAGCTGTCTCGGGTGTGGACCAATCAACTTCAAGGACAGTGCACATACATTATCAGAGTTGTGTTTTGTGTTTGCATTATGACTGCAGGTATTGTAGTCTATGCAAACATGACTCCTTGTAAAAAAAGGTGTCAGTTTTATTGCCAGATGGAAGGGTAAAAAAACAATGATCAATAAAAAGTTAAAACAGAGCAATGTAATACAATACGTTATTAGACATTATTGTAAAACATAAATAAAAAGTCCATCCCATGTGTTAGTGCATTTTTTTTTCATATTTTGGCCAGGAAATGAGTTTTCAAATGTAGATATTTTTTCTGGGTTGGGACCCCCAGGACCCCTGGGAGATTTGCCCCCCCCCAATGTGACTCCACGGCTACGGCCTTGGCCCGGATAGACCGCCAACAGCAACGCCTCGGTCACCTAGTCACTCAGTCAGTCACTCACTCAGTCACTCAGTCACCCACTCAGTCAGTCACTCACTCAGTCAATCACAGTCACTCACTCAGTCAATCACACAGTCACTCAGTCACCCACTCAGTCACTCAGTCAGTCACTCAGTCAGTAAGTCACTCAGTCACTGTCAGTCACTCACTCAGTCACTCTGTCACTCACTCACTCAGCCACTCACTCACTCACTCAGTCAGCCACTCACTCACTCAGTCAGCCACTCACTCACTCAGTCACTCACTCAGTCACTCAGTCACTCACTCACTCACTCACCCACCCACTCACTCACTCACCCACTCACCCACTCACTCACTCACCCACTCACTCACTCACCCACCCACCCACTCACCCCACCCACCCACCCACTCACCCACTCACTCACCCCACTCACAACTCAACTGGGGCTGAACGATTTTGGTAAAACGTCGAATTTCGATTCTTCTGACAAGATATTGCGGTTGCGATTTGAGTTGCGATTAAAAAAATGTAAGTCAAGCTTCGGTTCAATATTCACTGTGTAATAGATTTAAAACATGCGATGGAGCATTACCACATACCATCAACATATGAACTGCTCTATATATTCTAATGCATGAGAACTTAAAAGATATTAATTATTTTGAAAATAATAATTGAAATGAAGCAATCACACATAGAACAATTGTTAAGTTAAATAAGTAAAGTTATAATAATAAATAAATAAACAATTCCGATAAGTAATAGGACCTGTCAAATCGCAAAAAAATCGCAGCTTTTGCGTTTTGCTAATCGCTTTGTTTCAAATTGCGATGTCGATTTGAAATCGATTAATCGTTCAACGCAGCCACGGCGACTGCGGGATGATGAACCCGACTCCCTCCGCCGCTGGGGCAGAGAACGATGTGGTCCCCGCTTTCTACGAGGCGATGCAGATCCGAATAAAACTTTAGTTTCGACGAGTTTGACTTTGCGTCTCCCACGCAATCTGACGACGCGCGCTGCGGATACGGGGGGGCGGGGGAGGGGACGGGGGGTGAGAGGGGAGAGGTAGGAGAGTGCGTGGAGAGGAGTAGAGTGAGATGAGAGGGGAGAGGTGGGAGAGTGCGTGGAGGGAAGTGGAGTAAGATGAGAGGGGAGAGGCAGGGGAGTGCGTGGAGGGGAGTGAGATGAGAGGGGAGAGGTGGGAGAGTGCGTGGAGGGGAGTGGAGTGAGATGAGAGGGGAGAGGTAGGAGAGTGCGTGGAGGGGAGTAGAGTGAGATGAGATGGAGAGGTAGGAGAGTGGGTGGAGGGGAGTGGAGTGAGATGAGAGGGGAGAGGTGGGAGAGTGCGTGGAGGGGAAGTAGAGTGAGATGAGAGGGGAGAGGTAGGAGAGTGGGTGGAGGGGAGTGGAGTGAGTGAGAGGGGAGAGGTAGGAGAGTGCGTGGAGGGAGTAGAGTGAGATGAGATGGGAGAGGTAGGAGAGTGGGTGGAGGGGAGTGGAGTGAGATGAGAGGGGAGAGGTGGGAGAGTGCGTGGAGGGGAGTAGAGTGAGATGAGAGGGGAGAGGTAGGAGAGTGGGTGGAGGGGAGTGGAGTGAGATGAGAGGGAGAGGTGGGAGAGTGCGTGGGGAGAGTGGAGTGAGATGAGAGGGGAGAGGTAGGAGAGTGCGTGGAGGGGAGTGGAGTGAGATGAGAGGGGAGAAGTGGGAGAGTGCGTGGGGAGAGTGGAGTGAGATGAGAGGGGAGAGGTAGGAGAGTGCGTGGAGGGGAGTGGAGTGAGATGAGAGGGGAGAGGTGGGAGAATGCGTGGAGGGGAGTAGAGTGAGATGAGAGGGGAGAGGTAGGAGAGTGCGTGGAGGGGAGTAGAGTGAGATAAGAGGGGAGAGGTAGGAGAGTGCGTGGAAGGGAGTAGAGTGAGATGAGAGGGGAGAGGTGGGAGAGTGCGTGGAGGGGAGTAGAGTGAGATGAGAGGGGAGAGGTAGGAGAGTGCGTGGAGTGGAGTAGAGTGAGATGAGAGGGGAGAGGTAGGAGAGTGCGTGGAGGGGAGTAGAGTGAGATGAGAGGGGAGAGGTGGGAGAGTGCGTGGAGGGGAGTAGAGTGAGATGAGAGGTAGGAGAGTGCGTGGAGGGGAGTAGAGTGAGATGAGAGGGGAGAGGCGGGAGAGTGCGTGGAGGGGAGTGGAGCGAGATGAGAGGGGAGAGGTAGGAGAGTGCGTGGAGGGGAGTGGTGTGAGATGAGAGGGGAGAGGTAGGAGAGTGCGTGGAGGGGAGTAGAGTGAGATGAGAGGGGAGAGGCGGGAGAGTGCGTGGAGGGGAGTGGAGCGAGATGAGAGGGGAGAGGTAGGAGAGTGCGTGGAGGGGAGTAGAGTGAGATGAGAGGGGAGAGGTGGGAGAGTGCGTGGAGGGGAGTAGAGTGAGATGAGAGGGGAGAGGTAGGAGAGTGCGTGGAGGGGAGTAGCTTGAGAGGCGAGTGACTGCATGTAATTCACTTTCAAGCGACAATGAAAATCAGTCGATGCTTAAGTAACAAGATCCTTTATTAGCATCACAGACTTCCTGGTAACATTGGTAAAGGGAGTCTGGACCCACAAGGGTTGGTGGGTCACAGAGTTTTCAAATAAACCAGAGACCACATGGGCTGCTGGGAGACGACCAATACCGAGATTGCACGGACTGCCAACTTCATGACCGTCACAATGTGAGCCGAACCGACGCTCTGCCAGCACGGCATGGGGTACACGGGTCGTGTTGTTGTTTTTATTTGTCCATTGGGACTATTTGAAGAACCGAGCCAGGTCGAAATGCCGATGTGCTACTGGCCTCAGAGCAGAGGTCGCAAACGAGTTTTGATTCTTTACCCGTACCCGGCCGCACCAGGGTCGCAAACGGGTATCCGATACCCGTACCCTACCCGTACCCGGCCGGGTAGGGTACGGGTAACGGATACCTGATTGCGACCTCTGGGATGAAGCCATGTTGCAGGCGCGGTTGGGGTTAATTCTAGGAACTTGAATTGTGAGAAGAGACAAGACGTTGGGAAATGAGTGACAAACAGTTACTCACCAGTGACTCACGTTCTACCCGTACCCGGCCGCACCAGGGTCGCAAACGGGTACCCGTACCCGGCCGGGTACGGGTAGCCGGGTATCGGGTAGGGTACGGGTATCGGGTACCCGGTTGCGACCTCTGCCTCAGAGGACATCTGAATCTGGCTTGGGGGGCCAAGCAGGGCCAGGGGGCCGGGGCTAACGACGCAGGCGAGCACGTGGCAACCACGTGGTGTCTCCCCGCGTCACACCACCCGCGTCGTCAGGGGCGGGGCTCAGCAGTGGAAAAAATAACACTGGTCAACAACAACAACAACAAAAATTCTGGCCTGGACTTTTGCAGCTGTTCTAGACTAATTTCAGGGTGCCGATTCCAAATCTGATCTCAGATTTGCTCTATCACATCTCATTTTTATGCTATCGGCAAACCCCATTTTCATTGATTTTACCCGAAATTAACTCTGTCACTTATGTTTGCAAGTTGTTGCGAGTCAGTGACTGCTTTAGTGTAATATATGGTGCTGTATTTTTAGGATAGTATGTTTATAATATCATTTTACGTAGATATCCACATTTTATATTTTTCTTCTGCAGTTTTTATTGAAAATGCAATATTTGATATCTCAAAAACCTGATGTGATAGACAAAAACTGATGCCAGATTTGGAATCGGCACCCTAAAAAATTACCTAAAAAACCGTTGGAATACCTTATTCCAGAAAAATTGTGTTGACCAGTGAATTATCACCGAGCCGTGCCAGGCTGGCTCCGGCACGGCTCGGTTGTGCAATGGAAAGGAAGAAAACAAGAAAAAGTCGCCACCCAAGTTGGGTTTAGTGCCTCCGAACATTTAGGGCGACCCCCCCTCGGCCAGTGCAGGGCCACGCTGAAGTCGTGAACAGCGACGCGAGTTCGCACCGAAGTTTCGCCCTCACTGGCTCACTTCGAGGGCCCAGCCGCCCCAAAATCAACGGCGTCGTCCCCAGTTGGCAGGGCCGTTCGACGGTCCCCAAACAGCGCTGCAACTGCTGCCACTCTACGGGGTTCAAGGGTTAACGCACCCGGTCCATATTGCCGTGTGTGGCCCCCGCCCCCCACCCACCCACCCTCCTATCGTGGTGGGTTCCCTCCCACGTGAAGCCAAACACTTGCATTTGAGAAAGAAAAACAAACACATCATAATAATTTCACAAATTGGCCCAAACTTTCCAATGTAGGCAAGGACCCCAACAGCAAAACACGAGACACAGCGAGGATCTCTCACGCGAATGACCGTTACAACGTAATCTGTGAAACGACAAAACCTAAATTCAACTAAGTAATAAAAACCTTATTAAAGCTCTTTTCACCCTTTAGTGGCAAAGCCAGGCTGACAGTGGCCACTCTGCTTGGTGGGTGCAATAACCGCATTCCCCGGATCGTTAAGAAACACTTTGCCTGCCCACCGCCCCATCCTTGGCTTGTGAATAAAAATAATAATTGACGAGTAAGAATCAGGTGTCGGAGCTGTGGGTCCCCCTAGCTCGTTCTGAAGACGCACGCCGCTGTTGTTGATCGCGTCCCAGCGACTTCCACGGCACCTTCGACGCCGCGGGGGGGTGGGGGCGAAGCAGACTCGGGCCATCATCACCTCTCTCCGGGGACGATAAAAACGAGCACCACTTTTGTGGGGGAGTCAATCGGTCGGTGGTACTTTTGGCGGACACCCCCCCCCCCTCCGCTTTACAACTAGGCAGTGGCCGCGACGATGAAGATGACGATCGTTGATGACGACGGAGATGAACGGGGCAGGCAGCGATAAGCGAATACTACATTCATTTGCCAGTCGCACGGCGGGCCAAAGGGTGACGTCGCCCTCCTCTGCGGTAAAGATTTCCTCCGAAAATAAAGCTTCCCGATCTACGCTACGGACAGCGGCAAAGCTGCTCACTGTGTGCGGGGATTTTCTTGGGAAAGAAACCTGTCAACGCGCCACGATCTCGCTGTGCCAAGCAGCGGCTAAAGGATTCCGCCGTAGATCTCAGGGCAATCGTTTCACGGACCGTAAATTCCGCTGGGACAGCCGATGTGGGCGGCGAGAGAGAGAGAGGAAAGAAAGGGGGAAAAAATTTGAAATAAATTCCCCGCCCTAAGAATGTTCATTGCGTGTGTACGCAAGAGTGGGGGTGCGGGGGAGTGGTGGCGCAGCGGTTTTGCGCGCTGCGATACGAACCCACCGACCCAAGTTTTCAATTCCCGCTCACGGCCACCGACGGTGATTATATCTGAACCGGTCGTGGTCCTCCCCTCGGTCGACTCAGCCTCAAATGAGTACGGTGGGATGTGTGAGCATCGCCACTGGGGAGACAAAGGCGGTCGGGCGTGGTTCTGTACGCCCCGCCCCCTCGTGTGCCACAGTGCCGGCCTGCTGCTCCTTGCTGACGGCACTTGCCCCAACAGTCTGTTAAGGCTACACGGGGGATCTTTGTCTTGCTTGTGTGTGCACGGTGAATGATTCCGTCCACCGCCACGTTTTGCTACATTCACCGTCCGATTCGGTCGGCGTTCCCGTCCGCACTTGCCAGCCACACCGACCCAGGGCTTTTTCCTGCCACCTCGTGCTGGACCGTCTGTCGCAGACGCACCGTCCTAACTTCTTCAGTTTCACAAATCACTCTGCCTCCCCTCCCCCTCTCCTCGGCATGTCCTTCGCTGGAAGCCTCAAGCGGTCCATTCCTCCCCCACGCATCGCAATCCATCCGTTCCGAGCAGCGGACGAATCCATTTCCGACTCGGTCAAGCGACGGACAGATCGGTTCCAAATCGACGCTCCGATTCCAATTCGACACTTCCGATTCGAAATCTACTGATCGTTTCCAAATCGACGCGCAGATTCAATATCGACGGCCTCATTCCAAATCCACAGACGGATTCCAACATCCGGCGACAAAATTGCCAATCGACACGACAGATCACACATCGTTCTGAAACCGACATATCGACAACAAAAAAAAAACGGCCAAATCGACAGAAAGAAACCTCCACGGCCAACCCCTCATCAGCAGGACGCGTTCGACTCGGGCAGGCACCTCTGGAAAATCCTGTTGATCTTCACCTGCAACATGCGGTCCCCCCGACGCTTGCCCTCCCCCTCGACCTCGCCCCGACCTTTCCTTGACCTCCGCCGCCCTTCCCATCCGACGCCGCCGCTGCCGATACGGCCCTCTTCCTGCCGGGCTGCCCTTCGCTCCCCGCGCGTCTCCGGCGGCCTCCTTGGGCCGACGTCTCCTCGACCCGCCGGTCGACCTCCGACTCCGTCCGCCGCCGGAAGCCGCCGCCGCCGCCCCCGTTGCCGCGAGGTGGCAGGAGCGTTGGCGCCGTAAGTCGTACGCGGAGGCCGAGCCGGCGCTGCGGTCGACCGCTTTGGCCTCCGAGTTGAGCTGCCGCTGGAGGCGCCGAGCGAGGCAGCGGTCCCGGTCCTCCTGGAGCGCCAGCCGCTCCTCCTCCTCCTCGTCCTGCCGCCTCACTAAGGCGACGGCGGCGGCGGTGTCGGCGTCGTAGTCATCAACGTTCGCCGCACCGCCGCCGCCAACTCCTCCTGCCGGGCCGAGGGGGGCGAGCCGGGAGCCGCGGCCGCCGCGTGAAGGTGGCGGCGGGCACCGGGGAGACCAATTGGCGAGGCCGCTTTCCCGCCGGCACCCGCTTGGTCAGAAAGACGTTGTCTTCCGAGTCGTCGTCGTCCGGCGGGCGACCGCCGCCACCGTTTGTCTTTCTTGCCGACGACGGCGGCGGCGGCGAGGAGGAGGGGAGGTGCCGCTTGGCTCCAGAGGCGTCGCGCGTCGTCGCGCGGATTCCCGGCGCTCCCCGCTCGCCTCTTCCTCCGCCACCGTCGCTTTTAGTCGCGGAGGATCCGCTCGGCGCCATGGGCCAGCGGAACAGCGAGGGCGGCAGCTCCAGCTCCAAGTCTTCAACATCCGCGACGGCAACGCCGCCATCGTCAATGACATAGACAGCATCTGCATCTTCGCCGGTGTTATCGTGGTTGTTGTCGCCGTGGTGACCGTTGTCGGCACCGTCATCGCCGCGGGCAACCGCCTCCCGCTCCTCCGCAATGCGACGCCACCTGGACCACAGGACCTGCTCCTCGTAACAACCGTCACCTCCACCTCCTCCTCCACCTCCTCCACCTCCTCCACCTCCTCCACCTCCTCCACCTCCTCCACCTCCTCCACCTCCTCCACCTCCTCCTCCACCACCTCCGTCACCGTCGTCCGCTCGCCGCCCTCGGCGCGACGACCTCCAGGCTCCCTCCGCCAGCGCCCGGCACGGCCTGCGCCCCTTTGCCCGCCCCGCGCTCGCGACCAGCTCCACCACCGGCACCTCCGCTCGCAGCGAGGACGACGAGGAGGAGGTGGACGACGAGGCGGTTACGGTGGCGGTGGTGGGCTTGATGGGCGTCGCCTTGACGAGGGCGGGGGAGAGGACGCGCCCGTCCGGGAGCTGCTTGGGCGGCGTGCGGGGGCAGCTCACGATGGGCTTGAAGTGGTTCAGCTCCTGCGTGATGCTGTCGCCCCCGCTGCTCGCGCCGCCGTCCCTGCTGCTGTTGCTGCTGTTGCTGTTGCTGCTGTTGCTGCTGTTGCTGCGGTGCGGGAGGAGCTGTGGCTGCTGTGTCCGGCACTCTCTGCTGTTGCTGCTGATGCTGCTGTTGTTGTTGTTGCTGCTGTTGCTACACAAAAGTTCCTGCTGCTGCTGCTGTGGCCGCCGTTGCCGAGCGCTGCCCTCGCTGCTGCTGCTCCTGCTGTTGCTGCTGCTGGTGCACAGGAGGTTCTGCTGCTGCTGCTGCCGAGTACTGCCCTCCCTGCTGTCGTCGCTGCTGCGAGCGCTACCGTGGGGGAGCTGGTGAAGCTGCTGGTGGTGGTGGTGGCGAGTGTCGTCCTCCCACCTCCCCCCGCTGCTGCTGGCGGAGGTGGTGGTGGTGCTGGTGGCCGCGCTGGTGCCTGGCTGCAGCGACAGTCCGGTTCTGCGGTGGTGCACGGGCGGCGATGGAGACGTTGGTAGTGTCCGGACGGGAGAGAGGAACCTGCGGGAGACAGAGCGACGACGGGGGTGGGGGAGACGGTGACGACGATGTCATTGGGTGCCGCAGTGGCTAGGAGATGTGACATCGCTCTCAGTCGTCCCCTCTCTCCTCTCTGTCTAGATCTCCCTAAGTCGTCCTCTCTCTCTCCGAGTCAGCCTCTCTCTATCATTATGAGGGGCGCCGCAATGGCGAGATGTTAACTCCCTCGCCTGGTATGGAGGAGGTCGTGGGTTCAATCACGACCCTGACTCCTGCTGCTGTATAGGAGTCTGCGTGTCTCTTTCTCTCTCTCTCCACGCGTTCGCGTGGATTTTTCTCCGGGTCCTCCAGTTTTTCCCTTACACATTCAGAATCAACGTGTGTTTAGAGTATTTGGCCGCAATAAAGTTCCCCGTGATAAGCCCACTTCGTTAAAGCCGTCATTTGTGGCCAGGTGATTTTAAGAGATCATCGTGATGTCAACAATCTCACGGTATTATGACATTGATGTCAATGATGACGTCATTGAGACTATGATAACGTCATTGACATGTCAATACCATGACGATGATGTGATGACGCCATTGCCAAGATCATGTTTTTATCACTGCCAATATGATGATGATGATAATGTTGCCATTTCCATTATCACCACAGCAATGGCAACATCGTCGTCATCGTCGTCGTCATCATCGTCAGCCACTGACCTCTCTATGCCCTTGGAGACGGATGTGGATTCCTGGACCGGGGTGCGTGGACTCAGAGTCTTCGAACGCGACCTCTGATTCATCAAGGACCACGATGACATCTGCACCGGCTTTTCCTCCTTCACAGGGGGCAGGGGTAGTGGGGGGGGGCCGGCAGTCAATACGCACGGATGGACGGAGCCCTGTCACAGTAATGTGGAATGTGTTACACGTGCGTGCGCGTGTGCCGGTGATTCCCGCGTGTGTGATATGTACGTATCAGCGACGCACGCGTGCGACACGCGTGCGTGCGTGCATGCGTGTGACCGCGTGCGTGCGTGTCATGTACGTATCAGCGACACCCGCGTACGACACGCATGCATGCGTGCATGCGTATGACCGCGTGCGTGCATGCGTGTCATGTACGTATCAGCGACACCCGCGTACGACACGCATGCGTGCGTGTGTGCGTGTGACCGCGTGCGTGCATGCGTGTCATGTACGTATCAGCGACACCCGCGTACGACAAGCATGCCTGCGTGTGTGCGTGTGACCGCGTGCGTGCGTGTCATGTACGTATCAGCGACACCCGCGTACGACACGCATGCGAGCGTGCGTGCGACCCGCGTGCGTGCATGCGTGTCATGTACGTATCAGCGACACCCGCGTACGACACGCATGCCTGCGTGCATGCGTGTGACCGCGTGCGTGCGTGCGTGCGTGTCATGTACGTATCAGCGACACCCGCGTACGACACGCATGCCTGCGTGCGTGCGTGTGACCGCGTGCGTGCGTGCGTGTCATGTACGTATCAGCGACACCCGCGTACGACACGCATGCATGCGTGCATGCGTATGACCGCGTGCGTGCATGCGTGTCATGTACGTATCAGCGACACCCGCGTACGACACGCATGCGTGCGTGTGTGCGTGTGACCGCGTGCGTGCATGCGTGTCATGTACGTATCAGCGACACCCGCGTACGACAAGCATGCCTGCGTGTGTGCGTGTGACCGCGTGCGTGCGTGCGTGCGTGTCATGTACGTATCAGCGACACCCGCGTACGACACGCATGCGAGCGTGCGTGCGACCGCGTGCGTGCATGCGTGTCATGTACGTATCAGTGACACCCGCGTACGACACGCATGCCTGCGTGCGTGCGTGTGACCGCGTGCGTGCATGCGTGTCATGTACGTATCAGCGACACCCGCGTACGACACGCATGCGTGCGTGTGTGCGTGTGACCGCGTGCGTGCATGCGTGTCATGTACGTATCAGTGACACCCGCGTACGACACGCATGCCTGCGTGCGTGCGACCGCGTGCGTGCATGCGTGTCATGTACGTATCAGCGACACCCGCGTACGACACGCATGCCTGCGTGTGTGCGTGTGACCGCGTGCGTGCGTGCGTGTCATGTACGTATCAGCGACACCCGCGTACGACACGCATGCGTGCGTGTGTGCGTGTGACCGCGTGCGTGCATGCGTGTCATGTACGTATCAGCGACACCCGCGTACGACACGCATGCCTGCGTGTGTGCGTGCGTGTGACCGCGTGCGTGCGTGCGTGTCATGTACGTATCAGCGACACCCGCGTACGACACGCATGCGAGCGTGCGTGCGTGTGACCGCGTGCGTGCGTGTCATGTACGTATCAGCGACACCCGCGTACGACACGCATGCGTGCGTGCGTGCGTGTGACGGCGTGTGTGCGTCTCACCTTGGCGAGGCTGAGCCTGCGAGCCAACTCGCTGTCCATGGCCTCCTGCTGCGCACGGGCCGCCAGCTCCTGCTGCTGCTCATCCTCCATCAGCTGGGCAATGAGGCGCTCCGACAGACGCCGCTCCTCCTCATCCTGGGCCAGCCGCTCCGCTTGCAGCTGCAGCCGGGAGGCAGGCGGAGGGGGGTGGGGGGGTGGGGGGTGGGGGGAGGGGGGGTGGGGGGGTTGGTAGCCACATGATCGTTTTACACGCTTTCTATTAACTCACTCTGTCTGTTGTTGTTGTTGTCGTATCCTCAAATCTTGTAACGCAATTTTAACTCACTTCCCAATGTGGTATCGACTGCAAACTTTGTATACTTGTGTCATACTGATGACAATACTGTATTCTATCATACAAAAGTGAAAATAATTTTAAACTATCTTTTTACACGCTTTCATTTAACTCACTCTGTCTGTTGTTGTTGTCGTATCCTCAAATCTTGTAACGCAATTTTAACTCACTTCCCAATGTGATATCGACTGCAAACTTAGTATACTTATGTCATACTGATGACAATACTACATTCTATCATTAAAAATAAAAAATAAAAATTCGTAAGCAATCTTTTTTACGTGTTATGTTTCGGCTTGGGTCTAATTGTCCACGCTCAACTGACGTTGGCTGTAAATCACTACGGCCCCTTACGTTGTGGCAAGCTTCGGGGCCACTTCCTGGAGTCGTGGAGTTCTGCCATTACCAGTACGGTACATTCATTAAAGCGTGTTTTAAAAAAAGAATGTTTAAATATTACTCATTCTGTACGCGTTTCATTGCCACCGTGCCCTGTGATCGCCAACACACAGGCGGGGCGCGTCGGTTGAGTCTGGAGAGTTTTTTTAAGAATCGGTTGTATCTTCTTGGTTCTTTCGGTAAAGTTACGTGACTTCACCGAAAGAACCAAGAAGATGAATCCCTGCAGTCACGAAAGCTTTCAATCGAAATCGGTTGTAGGCGGTGTTCTGTAATCGTTGACGCGCGGGGGGGGGCGCTGTGCAGACGTGTGCTGTTCATGTCGCCGTGGGGTTTACACAACAAAGGCTCATTCCTAACAGCGTGCTTCAGCCGAACCGAACCTCACAAAAATAATATTCAGGGCCCACCTTGCCTCCTCCCACCCTCAACCAGTATATATACAAATACGGTTTTTTCTCGGAATTTCTCTCACTTGATACAGCTATCGTGCTGTGACTGTTCCACCTGAAGACGGAAGCTTGTGTTGCCTCCGAAACGTCGTGATTTTATTTTATTTTAATTTTACTTTTATTAATTTGAATTTTTTACCTACGTGACTTTACCGAAAAAACCTAAGAATATGGGTTTTGAAGAGTCGTTTGTACGGTAGAACCTCGGAGATCGAACGCACCAGAACTCGAACAAATCGGCGTTCGAACGATATTTCCGAACATTTTTTGCCCCGGAAACCAAACGAAATTCGGAGGTCGAACGGCCAATCGCAACTTGAAATAACCTGTACGCCTGAGACGCGTATGGCCAGCGTGCATGACGCTTGCCCAAAGGTTTTTACCGTATGAGAGGCTCAGTTAACACGTAGCTCTCACCCAGTGCAGACCCGCAAACCATCGTCCCTTAACTTTTCAGTAATTTCCTTTATTTTAGTGTTTTTTTTGGTGTTCATCCATACACAAGTTTCTTGTTTTTTTTGTATGATTCTTAGCATGTAATTACTGCAAACTTCGTGTAAAAATGCTTTATAATGAGAGATTTCTTTTGTCTGGAACCAATTCATGTCATTTACATGAATTCTTATGGGGAAGATTAATTCGGTGTTCGAACAAATCGGTGTTCGAACGGCCTTCCGGAACGAATTAAGCTCAATCTCCGGAGTACCACTGTACTTGGTTACTTAATAATATTATCCAATAATATTATAAGTCTTACTTTGTGCAAAGTGTTACTTTGTGAAAAGTATTACTTTGCACAAGAAGGCATATTCATTACATTCCAAATCTTGTTAAGATTCTTTGTATTCCCGATCGAGTTATTGTCCATCTTTCTGTCGTCGTTAAAACACGCTTTAAAAGTCCGCATTGATGCCCTATAATATTGAGGGAATTGCATTGGACGTGTGTGTGGTATGCGAGGTAGAAATGTGGGTGTGTGGTACAGGAGTGTGTGTGTGTGGTACGAGTGTGTGTGTGTGTGCGTGATACGTGTGTGTATGGTACGTGTGTGTGTGTGTTACGTGTGTGGTACGTGTGTGTTTGGTACGTGTGTGTGGTACAAGTGTGTGTGGTGTGTGTGGTGCACATGGTAGGTGTGTGCGTGTGGTACGTGTGTGTGTGTGTGTAGTGCACGTGGTACGTGTGTGTGTGTTACGTGTAGTACGTGTGTGTGTGGTACGAGGGTGTGTGTGTGTGGTACGAGGGTGTGTGTGTGTGGTATGTGTGTGTAGTGCACGTGGTACGTGTGTGTGGTACGTGTGGTATGTGTTTGTGTGTGGTATGAGTGGTACTTGTGTGTGTTGTTACGAGTAGTACGTGTGGTACGAGTGCGTGGTACATGTAGTACGAGTGTGTGGTACATGTAGTACGAGTGTGTGTGTGGTACGTGTGTGTGGTGTACGTGGTACGTGTGTGTGGTACGTGTGTGTGGTACGTGTGTGACACGAGTGTGTGGTACGAGTGGTACGTGTGTGGTACGTGTGGTAGGAGTGTGTGTGTAGTACGTGTGGTAGGAGTGTGTGGTACGTGTGTGGTACGTGTGTGCGGTACACGTGTGGTAGGAGTGTGTGTGTGTGCTACGTGTGTGTGGTACGTGTGGTAAGAGTGTGTGTGGTACGTGTGGTAGGAGTGTGTGTGTAGTACTGTGGCAGGAGTGTGTGTGGTACGTGTGTGCTGTATGAGTGGTACGTGTGTGTAGTACGTGTGTGGTACGTGTGTGTGGTACGTGTGTGTGGTACGTGTGTGTGGCAGGAGTGTGTGCGGTACGTGTGGTAGGAGTGTGTGGTACATGTGTATGGTACGTGTGTATGGTACGTGTGTGTGTGGTACGAGTGTGTGTGGTACGAGTGTGTGGTACGAGTGTGTGGTACGAGTGTGTGGTACATGTGTATGGTACGTGTGTATGGTACGTGTGTGTGTGGTACGAGTGTGTGTGGTACGAGTGTGTGCGGTACGTGTGGTAGGAGTGTGTGGTACGTGTGTATGGTACGTGTGTGTGTGGTACGAGTGTGTGGTACGTGTGTGTGGTACGAGTGTGTGGTACGAGTGTGTGGTACGTGTGTGTGGTACGTGTGGTAGGAGTATGTGGTACGTGTGTGGTACGTGTGTGTGGTACGTGTGTGTGGTACGTGTGTGTGGCAGGAGTGTGTGCGGTACGTGTGGTAGGAGTGTGTGGTACGTGTGTATGGTATGTGTGTATGGTACGTGTGTGTGTGGTACGAGTCTGTGTGGTACGTGTGTGTGTGTGGTACGTGTGTATGGTACGTGTGTGTGGTACGTGTGTGTGGTACGAGTGTGTGGTACGAGTGTGTGGTACGTGTGTGTGCGGTACATGTGGTATGAGTGTGTGGTACGTGTGTGTGGTACGTGTGTGTGGTACGAGTGTGTGGTACGAGTGTGTGGTACGTGTGTGTGCGGTACATGTGGTACGTGTGTGTGGTACGAGTGTGTGGTACGTGTGTGTGGTACGAGTGTGTGGTACGTGTGTGTGGTGCGTGTGGTAGGAGTGTGTGGTACGTGTGTGGTACTTGTGTGTGTGGTACGTGTGTGTGGTACGTGTGTGTGGTACGTATGTGTGGTACGTGTGGTAGGAGTGTGTGGTGCGTGTGTGTGGTACTTGTGTGTGTGGTGCGTGTGTGTGGTACGAGTGTGTGGTACGTGTGTGTGGTGCGTGTGGTAGGAGTGTGTGGTACGTGTGTGGTACTTGAGTGTGTGGTACGTGTGTGTGGTACAAGCGTGTGGTACGAGTGTGTGGTACATGTGTGCGGTACATGTGTGTGGTACGTGTGTGTGGCAGGAGTGTGTGTGGTACGTGTGTGTGGTACGTGTGTGTGGTGCGTGTGTGGTACGTGTGTGTGGTACGTGTGTGTGGTACGTGTGTGTGGTACTTGTGTGTGTGGTGCGTGTGTGTGGTACGTGTGTGTGTGGTACATGTGTGCGGTACATGTGTGTGGTACGTGTGTGTGGCAGGAGTGTGTGTGGTACGTGTGTGGTACTTGTGTGTGTGGTGCGTATGTGTGGTACGAGTGTGTGGTACGAGTGTGTGGTAGGAGTGTGTGTGGTGCGTGTGTGTGGTACATGTGTGTGGTACGTGTGTGTGGTACGTGCGTGTGGTAGGAGTGTGTGTGGTACATGTGTGTGGTACGTGTGTGTGGTAGGTGTGTGTGTGGTACGAGTGGTACTTGTGTGTGTTGTACGTGTGTGTGGCAGGAGTGTGTGTGGTACGTGTGTATGGTACGTGTGTGTGGTACGTGTGGTAGGAGTGTGTGTGGTACGTGCGTGTGGTACGCGTGTGTGTGTGGTACGTGTGTGTGGTACGTGTGATAGGAGTGTGTGTGGTATGAGTGTGTGGTACGTGTGTGTGGTACGAGTGTGTGGTACGGGTGTGTGGTACGAGTGTGTGGTACGTGTGTGTGGTACGAGTGTGTGGTACGTGTGTGTGGTACGAGTGTGTGGTACGTGTGTGTGGTACGAGTGTGTGGTACGAGTGTGTGGTACGAGTGTGTGGTACGAGTGTGTGGTACGTGTGTGTGGTACGAGTGCGTGGTACGTGTGTGTGGTACGAGTGTGTGGTACGTGTGTGTGGTACGAGTGTGTGTGGTATGAGTGTGTGGTACGTGCGTGTGGTACGTGTGGTAGGAGTGTGTGGTACGTGTGTATGGTACGTGCGTGTGGTACGTGTGGTAGGAGTGTGTGGTACGTGTGTATGGTACGTGCGTGTGGTACGTGTGGTAGGAGTGTGTGGTACGAGTGTGTGGTACGAGTGTGTGGTACGTGTGTGTGGTACGAGTGTGTGGTACGAGTGTGTGGTACGTGTGTGTGGTACGTGCGTGTGGTACGTGTGGTAGGAGTGTGTGTGGTACGTGTGGTAGGAGTGCGTGTGAGCTCACGTCTCCGCACCTTCTCGTACTGCTCTTGGTACTCGCGGCGCACCTCCCCGGGTCGGCTGACGAGCACGGGAGCTTGAAACAGGGGCCCTGGGGCAACGTGGAGACACCAACATCACCACCACCACCATCACCAATACCTCCACTACCACCACCACTACCACCACTACCACCATCACCACGACCTCCACTACCACCACCATCACCACTACTACCACCACCACAATCACCACTACCACTACCACCACTACCACCATCACCACGACCTCCACCATCACCACTACTACCACCACCACAATCACCACCACTACTACCACTACCACCATCACCACTACCACTACCATCACCACTACCACTACCATCACCACCACTACCATCACCACCACTACCACCACCACCACTACCACCACTACCACCACCACTACCACTACCACCACCATCACCACCACAACCACCACCACAACCACCACCACTACCATCACCACAACCACTACCATCACCACCGTCACCACTATCTTCACCACCAGTCATCTCCACCACCATCGTCATCTCCACCACCGCCACCATCTCCACCACCGCCACCATCTCCACCACCGCCACCATCTCCACCACCGTCATCATCTCCACCACCATCGTCATCTCCACCACCATCGTCATCTCCACCACCCTCACCATCACCGCCATCATCTCCACCGCTGCCATCAATTCTCCCACCGCCAGATCAAGACACCAGGCCCCGTAGCATCATGTCCACAATCACCACCGCGGCCATCATCTCAACAACAACCACCAGCACCAGATCAGATTCAGACACCAAAAGATCAGACCACCTGTAATATCATCACCACCACCACCAACCATCACCACTACAACCACAACATCAGATCAAGACACCAGGAGATCAGGAGGCCCCATACCATTATAATCTCCAAAAGACAAAGATCCCCCATATAACCTTAACAGGCTACGGGGGGCAAGTGCTGTTAGCGAGCCAAGTCGCTTCTGAACAGGTCCCTGCGGGGTGGGCTGGTAGGAACGAATAACCAAAGAATATAAACATAATGTATTATTACACTTGTTTAGCCAGGAAAGCCCCACTGAGTCTAAAGGTTTTTGTAGGGTCCTGCCAAGTGTTTGCAGTAGGGGGCGATGTTGCTACACCGAATCGGATGATACGAAGGGAGAGTGTGAGGCCTAATTCTAAGCTTTAGGCCTAGCTGTAGGCGTTAGGCCGCTGTGAGTTAATTTGTAATTTAAATGTTTTAATTATATATGTAAAAGCTTAAAATGTAAATGTTTCTATTTAAAAACATCAGGGAATGTAACATTGTAAAACATTAACTCCCTTTCACACACGTGGGGGTACGATACGAAGGGAGAGGTTGAGGCCTAGTTCTAGGCTTTAGGCCTAGCTGTAGGCTTTAGACCGCCGTGAGTTAATTTTAAGATTAAATGTTTTTATTATTTATGTAAAAGCTTTAAATTTAAATGTTTCTACTTAAAAGCATCAGGGAATGTAACATTGTTAAACATTAACTCCCTTGCACACACGCGGGGGTACGATACGAAGGGAGAGTGATAGGCGTAGTTCGAGGCTTTAGGCCTAGCTGTAGGCTTTAGGGCGCTGTGAGTAAAATTGGAATTTAAAAGTTGTAATTAAAAGCTATCTCAGGGAATTATAAGGGAATGTTACACTTGTTTGGCCAGGAAAGCCTCGTTAATTTAAATGTTTTAATTAAAAGCTATCTGAGGGAATTATAAGGGAATGTTACACTTGTTTAGCCAGGAAAGCGTCACTGAGTCTAAAGGTTTTTGTAGGGTCATGCCAAGTGTTTGCAGTAGGGTCCTGCCAAGTGTTTGCAGTAGGGGGCGATGTTGCTACACGGACGGACGATATAATCTATTGTAGGCTGGTCCACTTCGTTCCTACCAGTAAAAAGAGCTACATAGCTCAGTGGGCCTTACTTGATAAAATAAAACGTCGGTTATAGTTTAGAACTCAGGTTGCTGTGTTCGTAGCGCAACGCGCTAATCACTGAGCCACCGCTTGCCATACCACCACCACATCCACCAGCAAAAAAGACCAAGAACACCAGAAGATCAAGATGCCCCGTACCATCATCACCACCATTCCCAGTAACAGCACCAGCACTACTACTACCACCACCACGTCCAGCACCAGATCAGATCAAGGACACCAGGAGAACATCATTATCACCAACACTACCAGCAGCAGTAACAGCACATTCATCACCACATCCATCATCAGATCAAATCAAGACTCCAGATCAGGAGGCCCCTAGCATTTTCACCACCACCACCACCGCCAGTAACCACCACAACCACGTCCACCACCAGCTCAGATCAATGACACCAGATCAGGATGCCCCGTAACCATCGTCATCACCACAACAACCACGTCCACCACATCAGATCAATGACACCAGATCAGGATGCCTGTACCATCGTCATCACCACTACAACCACAGCCACCCCCAGATCAGATCAATGACGCCAGATCAGGATGCCCCGTACCATCATCATCACCACCACCACGTCCACCATCAGATCAAATCAATGACACCAGATCTGGATGCATGTACAATCATCATCATCACCACCGCCACCACCACCACCACCACCAGACCAAACCAATGACACCAGATCAGCATGCCCCGTATCATCGTCATCACCACAACCACAACCACAGCCACCACCAGATCAGATCAATGACACCAGATCAGGATGCCTGTACCATCGTCATCACCACCACCACAACCACAGCCACCACCAGATCAGATCAATGACACCAGATCAGGATGCCCCGTACCATCATCATCACCACCACAACCACGTCCACCACCAGACCAAACCAATGACACCAAATCAGCATTCCCCGTAACATCATCATCACCACCACCAAACCAAACCAATGACACCAAATCAGCATTCCCCGTACCATCATCATCACCACAACCACCACGTCCACCACCAGACCAAACCAATGACACCAAATTAGCATGCCCTGTACCATCATCATCGTCATCACCACCACCACAACCACGTCCACCACCAGACCAAACCAATGACGCCAGATGAGGGTGTCCCGTACCATCATCATCACCTCCTCCGCCATCACCACCACCGTCACCACCTGATCAGATCAATGACACCAGATCAGCATGCCCCGTACCATCATCACTACAACCACAACCACATCCACCACCAGACCAAACCAATGACACCAAATCAGCATGCCCCGTACCATCATCATCACCATCACCACCTCCGCCGTCACCACCACCAGACCAAACAAATGACACCAGATCAAGATGCCCGTACCATCATCATCATCACCACCACAACCACGTCCACCACCAGACCAAACCAATGACACCAGATCAGCATGCCCCCCGTATCATCATCATCACCACCACCACCACCACCACAACAACCACAGGCACCATCAGATCAATGACACCAGATCAGGATGCCTGTACCAGTCACCACCACCACCACCAGACCAAACCAATGACACCAAATAAGCATTCCCCGTAACATCATCATCACCACCACCACAGCCACCACCAAACCAAACCAATGACACCAAATTAGCATTCCCCGTACCATCATCACCACAACCACCACGTCCACCACCAGACCAAACCAATGATACCAAATTAGCATGCCCTGTACCATCATCATCGTCATCACCACCACCACAACCACGTCCACCACCAGACCAAACCAATGACGCCAGATGAGGGTGTCCCGTACCATCATCATCACCTCCTCCGCCATCACCACCACCGTCACCACCTGATCAGATCAATGACACCAGATCAGCATGCCCCGTACCATCATCACTACAACCACAACCACATCCACCACCAGACCAAACCAATGACACCAAATCAGCATGCCCCGTACCATCATCATCACCATCACCACCTCCGCCGTCACCACCACCAGACCAAACAAATGACACCAGATCAGGATGCCCGTACCATCATCATCATCACCACCACAACCACGTCCACCACCAGACCAAACCAATGACACCAGATCAGCATGCCCCCCGTATCATCATCATCACCACCACCACAACAACCACAGGCACCATCAGATCAATGACACCAGATCAGGATGCCTGTACCAGTCACCACCACCACCAGACCAAACCAATGACACCAAATCAGCATGCCCCGTACCATCATCATCACCTCCGCCATCACCACCACCGTCACCACCACCACCACCACCATAACCACGTCCACCACCAGACCAAACCAATGACACCAAATCAGCATGCCTGTACCATCATCATCACCATCACCACCACCAGACCAAACCAATGACACCAAATCAGCATGCCTGTACCATCATCATCACCATCACCACCACCAGACCAAACCAATGACACCAAATCAGCATGCCTGTACCATCATCATCACCATCACCACCACCAGACCAAACCAATGATACCAAATCAGCATGCTCCGTACCATCATCATCACCACCACCACCACCATCATCATCACCATCACCACCACCAGACCAAACCAATGACTCCAAATCAGCATGCTCCGTACCATCATCATCACCATCACCACCATCATCGTCACCATCACCACCACCAGACCAAACCAATGACACCAAATCAGCATGCCTGTACCATCATCATCACCACCACCACCACCAGACCAAACCAATGACACCAAATCAGCATGCTCCGTACCATCATCATCACCACCATCATCATCACCATCACCACCACCAGACCAAACCAATGTCACCAAATCAGCATGCTCCGTACCATCATCACCACCACCACCACCATCATCACCACCATCACCACCACCAGACCAAACCAATGACTCCAAATCAGCATGCTCCGTACCATCATCATCACCATCACCACCATCACCACCACCAGACCAAACCAATGACACCAAATCAGCATGCCTGTACCATCATCATCACCACCACCACCACCAGACCAAACCAATGACACCAAATCAGCATGCTCCGTACCATCATCATCACCACCATCATCATCACCATCACCACCACCAGACCAAACCAATGACACCAAATCAGCATGCCCCGTACCATCATCATCACCACCACCACCACCATCATCACCACCATCACCACCACCAGACCAAACCAATGACTCCAAATCAGCATGCTCCGTACCATCATCATCACCATCACCACCATCATCGTCACCATCACCACCACCAGACCAAACCAATGACACCAAATCAGCATGCCTGTACCATCATCATCACCACCACCACCACCAGACCAAACCAATGACACCAAATCAGCATGCTCCGTACCATCATCATCACCACCATCATCATCACCATCACCACCACCAGACCAAACCAATGACACCAAATCAGCATGCCCCGTACCATCATCATCACCACCTCCGCCATCACCACCACCACCGTCACCACCACCGTCACCACCACCACCGTCACCACGTTCCCGCATCCTCTTGAGGCACCGCTCTGGGTGCTGTGCCCGCAGTCTGCTCCACAGCTCCGCGTCCAGGAGGCCGCCCGGCTCGCGGGCCCTCCGCCGGGCCCAGCTGGAGACGCGGGCCCGGCACAGCGGGCAGCAGAGGGCCGCCTTCTCGACGCACTGCGCGAAGCAGGGAGCGCACAGCGAGTGTCCGCACGGCATCGTCACGGGCTCCACCAGGATGTCCAGACACACGGGACACATGCAACTTTCGAGAGGCAGCAGAGCCTCGCCTGCTGCTGCTGCTGTTGTTGCGGGGGGCTGTTGCTTGGGCCTCGTGGTCGTGGATCGGGCCGGTCGAGTTACACCCCGTCGCTGTTGATTTCTCTGTCGAGGTTGTTGTTGCTGTTGTTGTTGTTGTTGTTTTCGTCGCCATGTTGTTGGCGCCATCGCTGCCACGTGCTTCCCACCTTCACCTCACCTCACCCCACTCGTAGACCTCCTCACCACCTCACCTCACCTCACCCCCCCCCCCCCGTAGACCTCCTCACCACCTCACCCCCCCCCCCCGTAGACCTCCTCACCACCTCACCTCACCCCCCTCGTAGACCTCCTCACCACCTCACCTCACCTCACCCCCCCTCGTAGACCTCCTCACCACCTCACCTCACCCCCCTCGTAGACCTCCTCACCACCTCACCCCCCTCGTAGACCTCCTCACCACCTCACCTCACCTCACCCCCCCCCCCCCGTAGACCTCCTCACCACCTCACCCCCCCCCCCCCGTAGACCTCCTCACCACCTCACCTCACCTCACCCCCCTCGTAGACCTCCTCACCACCTCACCTCACCCCCCTCGGAGACCTCCGAGCCCCCTTCCACCGAGCCCCCCTCGTAGACCTCCTCACCACCTCACCTGACCCCCCTCGTAGACCTCCGAGCCCCCCTCCACCGAGCCCCCCTCACCACCCACCACCACGCGGCCCCCCCTTACTTCCCTGTAACTTTTTTCAAGTTGGGTGAAGATCGCCGCCACCACTACCACCACCACCAAACACCCCCCCTCCCTAAACAACGAATGTATTCAAAGCCACGCCACCCGCTGTGCCTATCACCACCACCACCACCAATTAACTCAGATGCCCTCACCACCACCAACTCGGCCACCACTACCACAACTAAACTAACTCGGCCTCACCACCACCAACTCAGGCGGCCACCACCACAACTCAACTAACTCGGCCTCACCACCACCACAACTAACGGCCTCACCACCGCCAACTCAGGCGGCCACCACCACCACAACTAAACTCAGGCGGCCACCACCACCACAACTAAACTAACTCGGCCTCACCACCACCACCACAACTAAACTAACTCACCACCACCACCACAACTAAACTAACTCTGCCTCACCACCACCACAACTAAACTACCTCACCACCACCACAACTAAACTACCTCACCACCACCACAACTAAACTAACTCACCACCACCACAACTAAACTACCTCACCACCACCACAACTAAACTAACTCACCACCACCACAACTAAACTACCTCACCACCACCACAACTAAACTAACTCACCACCACCACAACAAAACTACCTCACCACCACCACAACTAAACTAACTCACCACCACCACAACAACTAAACTAACACCACCACCACCAACACTAAACTAACTCTGCCTCACCACCACCACCACAACTAAACTAACTCACCACCACCACAACTAAACAAACACCACCACCACAACAACTAAACTACCTCACCACCACCACAACTAAACTAACACCACCACCACCACAACAACTAAACTACCTCACCACCACCACCACAACTAAACTAACACCACCACCACCACAACAACTAAACTACCTCACCACCACCACCGTCTCTGCCCGCGACCCAAAACCAACCCCAACATTGGGAGTGTGGGAGAGAGAATCGATTGTCGATTCGAGTCGGTTTATACGTTGCAGGAATCGATTCCGTTCCAGGGGAATGCGTTTGAGCGCTAAACCCCGCGCGTGCGAATCGGTTTAACGATTTGTCATCAATTCGATTTTTGCGAATCGATTTTAGTTGAGGCGGTGAAGCCGATTGTGGATGTGGTGCAGGAGCTGAGAATCGATCAAGCGATTTCATTGTTGTATTAGCGGGGGAATCGATTCTGTTGAAATGTGCTACAAGATTAAGCGCGCGTAGGGAATCGATTACCCAAGATTACCGATTACGCGTTTTCGATTCCATTTACAGTATTGTAATTCGCGGCTTTTAGGAATCGATTACCGAATTAATCGATTGGTGCATCGATTCCGCCGGTTCACTCGAGGACAGCTGATGGGAGGTCACCTGATGATGCCACTCGTAATTACGGGCGAAACGTCGTACTCCGATTGTATTTAATTTGATTTCTTTCTACGTGACATTACCGAAAGACATTTTTATTTAAAGATTTTGTGACTGCAGGGATTTATATTATTGTATCTTTTGGTAAAGTCACGTAGAAGGGAAATAATAAAAAATTCTCAGTTTAGTTAAATAGTTTAATTGAATAATTTAATTTACCTTTTTTTTTAGTTTAATATGATATTCTTGGTGCTTTCGGTAACGCCACGTAGAAGGGAAATAATAAAATAATAAAATTATCAGATAGTTTAGTTAAATAGTTTAATTTAATAATTTAATTTACCTTTTTTAAGTTTAATGATATTTTTGTTCTTTCGGTAAAGTCACGTAGAAGGGAAATAATAAAAAATAAAAAAATAAAAATTCTCAGATGGTTTAGTTAAATAGTTTAATTTAATAATTTAATTTACCTTTTTTTGTTTAATATGATATTCTTGGTTCTTTCGGTAAAGTCACGTAGAAGGGAGATAATAAAATATTCAAAATCAAACAATACAATTCTCAGATAGTTTAGTTAGTTTGATTTAATAATTTAATTTATCTTTGTTTTTTTAAGTTTAATATGATATTCTTGGTTCTTTCGGTAATGCCACGTAGAAGGGAAATATTAAAAATAAAACAATAAAATTATCAGATAGTTTAGTTAAATAGTTTAATTTAATAATTTAATTTAGCTTTTTTTGTTTAATATGATATTCTTGGTTCTTTCGGTAAAGTCACGTAGAAGGGAAATAATAAAAAGAAAACAATAAAATTATCAGATAGTTTAGTTAAATAGTTTAATTTAATAATTTAATTAACCTTTATTAAAGTTTAATATGATATTCTTGGTTCTTTCGGTAATGTCATGCGGAAGGGAAATAATAAAATATAAAAAATCAAACAATAAAATTATCAGATAGTTTAGTTAAATAGTTTAATTTAATAATTTAAATTACCTTTTTTGTTAGTTTAATATTATATTCTTGGATCTTTCGGTAAAGTCACGTAGAAGGGAAATAATAAAATATTAAAAAATTAAACAATAAAATTATCACGACGTTTCGATTGCAACACAAGCAATCATCATCAGGTGTGAAGACCACAGCAATAATGTTTTTTTTTCTAAACCGCCACTTTTTTCAACCGAAATAACTAAGAATATCATGTTAAACTTTTTTTTAAGGAAAATTAAATTATTAAATTAAACTATTTAACTAAACTATCTGAGAATTTAATTGTTTTTTATTTATTATTTTATTATTTCCCTTCAATGTGACTTTACCGAAAGAACCAAAAATATAATATTAAACTTTTTTTTTAAAAGGTAAATTAAAGTATTAAATCAAACTATTTAACTAAACTATCTGAGAATTTAATAGTTTTTTTTTATTATTTTATTATTTCCCTTCAATGTGACTTTACCGAAAGAACCAAAAATATAATATTAAACTTTTTTTTTAAAAGGTAAATTAAAGTATTAAATCAAACTATTTAACTAAACTATCTGAGAATATAATTGTTTTATTTATATTATTTTACTATTTCCCTTCTACGTGACTTTACCGAAAGAACCAAAAATATAATATTAAACTTTTTTTTAAAAAAGGTAAATTAAATTATTAAATTCAATTATTTAACTAAACTATCTGAGAATATAATTGTTTTATTTATATTATTTTACTATTTCCCTTCTACGTGACTTTACCGAAAGAACCAAAAATATAATATTAAACTTTTTTTTAAAAAAGGTAAATTAAATTATTAAATTCAATTATTTAACTAAACTATCTGAGAATGTAATTGTTTTATTTATATTATTTTACTATTTCCCTTCTACGTGACTTCACCGATATAATATTAAACTTTTTTTTTAAAAGGTAAATTAAATTATTAAATTCAATTATTTAACTAAACTATCTGAGAATGTAATTGTTTTATTTGTATTATTTTATTATTTCCCTTCTACGTGACTTTACCAACCAAGGATATTACCGACAGAGCCAAAGAGTAATTGTAAATGTTGTCGTGGGTTTAGGGGCCGTCCATAAATGACGTCACGCACCTAGGGGGTGGGGGGGGGGTCAGACATTTTGTGACGATGTGTGACGAGGGGGGGGGGGTGAGAAATGTGACGTCACATCAAAATGCCCAACTTTAAATAAATATAGACAACACGTTCTACTTAATTAAATAGACTTTTAATAAATGTTTTCTCCTACAACATCAGAGTGCAGCGCCACATTAAATACGCACTGCAATGACAATAGTTTAAAGCGATTTGAAGCATGTTCTATTTTTGGGGGGGGCAGGCAGAGCTTTGTGACGTCATATTTGAGGGGGGGGGGCCTGACTTTTTGTGATGCCGTGTGACGAAGGGGGGGGGGGGGGGTCAAAAATCGTCCAAAATCGCGTGACGTCGTTTTTTGTGAAAATTCCATCACAGTTCCTATGATCACTGTTTCAATGCTTTCATGGCTTTATTTTGGTGATTTTCGAAAAGTTTTTTGGTTTGGCCATATTTGTTTGGCCTTAATCTAAGTTGTCTTGTGGTTGTTGTTGTTGTTTGACTTGCATCCCACTGGGATTTTTTTGCACACATCGTTGGTGTGTACTGTTGTATGTGTTGTGATTATGAAATTTTGATGAAAATAATAAAAATTAATAATTTTCCGAAAAATGCGCAAATCGCATTAATTATGATAGTGTGTGTATTAATACGCATAAATTATGATAATGCGTGTAATTATATGCATAAATTATGATAATCACGGAGATAATCGTAGTAATTTATGCGGAGGCTTGCGATTATGTTAATGTGTGCAGTTATGATAATTTGCTTAGTTTCGTTTATCCAGAGTTATCAATCAGGATAACACGATTATCATAGATTCATTTACCGATTATCCTAGTGTGTGTTATAATATTTTAGGTCTCCATTTTCATATCTCATCACAGGATACAGTTGTCAAGAATAAGACAGTTTTGCATGGACTTGGAAGGAACACTCGATATGCTTCTGGATTACAATTTTATTCTAACAAGCACGTGACATTCTATCATGCAGGTCAAACATGCGTCAATAATTCATGGGCAAGATTATGCAATTAACTAATATGAACGACAAAAACTTAT